ACGACATCTTTAAATTCGTCTCCTTCTGGAAGGTCAAACCTTTTTCGTCCACCAAGAGAAGCTATAACATAGAAATATTTAGAACTCGATTAAAAAATTATGTAGGTATGTACATTTACCATAAATTGCATCTTCAAAGGTTGTGTTTTCAAGTCCTACTGCCCCTTCTTTGTTTCCATTATAAATAACTTTTTGGCAGCATTGCGGCTGGTTTCTAATAATATTAGAATAATACTTACCAATTTTGTATTCTCTATGAAAATTTTCTGTTAACAGACACACACAGGACAAACGCACGTTTCTTTTAACAAATAACCGACGAATATGAGCCACACACGTGTACAATTTACTTGCGCATGCGAAATGGATTCATAGACAAGAAACAATAGACAGGGAACAACTATATAGGTCTATAGACCTATAACTTGTTGCAACATCCACAGGATTATTGTTGTCTATAAACAAACCGTGATTTTCGACCTTATATACTAAAACACAACGCGATTTTCGGCCTTATAAACCAAAACAAACCTTAATTTTCGACTTTCAATTTATGATGCGGCCAAGCGAAACACTGGACATTATACGTTATGGTAGAAATAAGTCTTATTTCTACAATGCGTCTTTATAGTTCACTTATAATAATTATTACTTTTGAAAAAAATCAGCTGAAACGTGAAACCGGGTAATTGCGGGGTATTTCAATACGAATACGGTACTCCGGTTGATTGTACAATGACTGGGCAATTATTAAATATCTACTAAATTAAAATAAATGTATAGTACCTACTACAAAAATATCCTTAAAATAACCCAAAGAATCATCATCCCCTAGGGATAATTCTTTGGGTGATATATTAATATTAAAGATATATATATATCTTTAATATTAAAGATATTTCTGTAATATGTAATGTTTGCTATAAATGTAGTTAATATTTAATAATTGCCCAGTCATTGGCCAATCAACCAGAGTACCGTGTTCGTATTGGAGTGTTCAATAATTGCCCGGTTTCACGTCCGGTTAATTGATCAATTATTAACAATTCGAATGGGCTAAAAATTGAGCAATGATTGATCAACGATTGGGACTTCACATACAATTTCAGTTAACTAAATAATGGACCATACAATTATTGCCCAATGATTGACCACTTCTATTGAATCAATGAGATTGGTCAAATATTGAAATCAACGCTGTGCTTACTGGGTAATTTCGTGGCCGTGCTGAGAGTGGGTAAAATAATGAATTCCCTGATTGTTCATTACTTAACTTTAACCCGTAGCATTTCGCCCACATGCTTAAGTTGTCCTTAAGTTAGTCGTAAAATTGGCTTTAAATTCCTTGCGGTAGTTGAATAAAATATTGTGTTCGACTATCTTCTCCTTCTTTCACTAGTCACAAAATGTTCCATTAAATAATAGTAGGTATATTATGTATCAAGTTTTATAAACGCCATTTTAGTTACGAGTTTAATTAAGCACGAGCGAAGCTTGCGAGCGAGTGTTTAATAAAAACGAGTGTCTAGAGAAGTTTATAAACGAGTTGCATACTATACTTTATCTATGACGAACACAAAACAGAATTTAAAGCCAATTTTATTTGTTAAAATTTTGACATCTGTCAACTGTCACCCGAATTTAACCTCACTTTTTTCCAATTTATAATAAAGCTAACTTCAGCCCGTGACGTAAAATGTCGAAAAGCCACTGTTGTTAACTTCAGCCCGTCAATAAAACGCCATAAAGTGACAGCTCGTCAATGTAGGAGTAGATAAATAAGATTTAATAGCTATTAACATTATTTTTTTAACAACCTTAAGGTATATGCAATTTTGTGACCCTGCTGAGAGTGGGTAAAATAATGAATTCCCTGATTGTTCATTACTTAACTTCAACCCGTAGCATTTCGCCCACATGCTTAAGTTGTCTTTAACTTAAAATTGAAATAAGTGAGGTTAAAACTTTTTGACAGTCGTAAAATTGGCTTTAAATTCCTTGCGGTAGTTGAATAAAATATTGTGTTCGACTATATTCTCCTTCTTCCACTAGTCACACAATGTTCTATTAAATAAGATTTTATTCATAAAACATGAATATATTTATTTATAAATTATTATTATTATTACAAATAAATTATTTATAAATTATAAAAAAAATAAAATACAAAGAGAAAAAAAACATATTTGATTTCTCAAAAAAATCTTAATAATTTTCCCTTCTTGTTTTAAAACCCTTAAAACACCAAAATCTTTTGGAATATCTTATATTAAAATTAATTTTTAATTTTTGATTTCTTACAAACATTTATTCGTAATGAATTTTTCCACTTTTTTTTAAACCCCAAAGCACCAATAAATTTTAATATCTGCTCTTAAAAAAATATATTTTTGAAAAAAAAATACGATTGAGTTCTCAGAAAAAATATTAGAAATGGTTTGAGATGAAACGGATAGTTTGGTTGGATACCGAATATCATAGTTTAATAATAATATTCGACAAGATTATAACCCGGTTATCTGGGGGCCGAATATTCGGCGTGGCGAGTTAAGATCGGCTAGATTTGGGCGTCATCGTGAGTATTCGTGATTGATTAGCGAAAGACAGTTATTTTATTTTCATTCTTTGTCGCGTTCTAACAATTATTTGTTGGTTTGTAATAGTTTATTATTATACGAGAGATAATGCGCTTAATCTCGAGTGTAAAACTATACTTTATCTACTAAAATTAGTAGATCATTAAATGATTTTTAAAAATAAATAAATAAAATCTGACTTCTGTCAAATGGTTAACCTCACTTTTTACCAATTTTAAATATTATTTCAGTAGCCCTCTACCAATTTAAAACCCGATTGGTTCAAATTACAGTGAATATTGAAATCGACCAATCACTGATCCCAAACAACGTGAATAATGAGTTCATTATTCCCGTTGTTAGGCAGAAAATTTATATTGGGAAAAACCCAATATTATGCAATATGAGTAAACACAAAATATAATAATATGTAACGCGCAGCGAGATAAGACTAACCTAAGGTCTTAAATGAAATTTTACAGGAGGCGATTGAAGTTCGCACAGCATAGGCGTTTGTGAAGTAACGCTTGAAATAAATAATTATTATCTTTTAGAAAGATTTTGTACTTGGAGCGAGTCAATATTATAATATAAGCTATTGTTGCATTATTTTCTTACAAATATTTATGTATTGCAGTTGATTTTATGAATTGTTGTACCTATAAAACTATAGTTTTTAAAATTTCTGGTATCCGGCCGATTCGGTATCTGGATGAATAGTAAATTTTTCTACTCCTATTACGGAATTTGACCGTTCTTATATCACTTTTATCTATGGAATGACATATATTCCGTAAAGTGTTACAGAATGAAATATTCCATCATTGGATGACAGAATAAACACTCGTGGCGACATCTCTGTTTTTAATATCTAACAAATTTTAGACCGATCCAACATCACTTTCTTCCAATTAAATTATTTTTCTATGGTATTTTTTGGAAACGTAGAAAAAGTATAGTCTGAAACACGTTTGGAATATGCTGCATTCCAAACTTGTTACAGAATATACTATTCTAAAAAATCACTATCCCATCCAGGGATATACCTACACTGTATGTACCTATACAACAAAATTATTTAAAAAAATGACAACAGAATAAAATTGCAGAATTAACTTAACATAAATGTTTTAATTTAAAAAGCACCAATTATTACTTTTAACAAAATAATAAAGCTATTTAACAAAATAAAATTTAAACTGATGTATTTCAAGCATGATTTCTATGAAATATTTTTATTTCAAATTAGCTTTTTATAGACCAACTATCAGCATTGAGCCTGACATAAAAGAAAATGTTTATTCAACCATTTAAGCTATAATCAATAAAAATTTTAGACATTATTTATAAAACCTCATTTATAAAAAGAAACCTTGTTTGTTTTCAATTAATTTGTAGAATTAGCAATAACAATGGAAAATAAAATTAACTAGCTAATTAGTACAATTTTAAGGGTATCTTTATCGAGGCATAAAAAATTAATGCTAATTAAACGTTAAATTACTCAATTTTAAATAAACATAACTTTATTGAACCATTTTATTGGTTAATATTACATGGGTACTTATTGATCGTTTTTTAAAAAGATAGCATATTCTCCAGAAACATAAAAAAATAAATTAACCACAATTAACAAGTTTTATTCAAAGTTTAGGCAAACTTTAAGTACCTACACACTACAACAAAAACAAACAAATCCTCACCGAAGAATTGTGATGAATGAAATTTTCGTCTACATCTTTTTTGCACAAGTGATGAGTTAGTTTTTCGTATTTGGCGTTCGATGAAGGCTTTTTCATGCTTCACCGATACTAATACACTTATTAATTGCACCGAAATTTACTCCGAAATCAATAACATAATTATTTAACTAACGCCGATGACATTTGTCTGTCATATATGACGTTTTTACAGCGAACACGTTAACATGTTGCGACAGTGTTGTTCTCAGCTACAACATAACCTAATCGATCCCGCGCTGTTTATTTAGAATGTAATAGAAGTCTCAATGATTTATAAATTTCCAATAATTGAATGATCAATATTAAAAATAATAAATAACTCTGACCATTTAGCAAGCGCTAGAAGGCTCATAAATCCTATAAAGGCCACTGTACTTTATATTACTAGGTGGAGGCCCTGCGAACAGACCATGTTAACATGTCGCAAATAAGGCGAGATTCATTAGAAGCGACAACAGCGCATAACATATTTATTTTTCTTTCCCAGAACAACTCTTTAAAGCAAATGAACTACCATCCATACATTTACATTTTTCATTAAAATTTCATTTAAATGAATATTTTGCAATTAATATTAATACATCGGAAATTATTAATTACTCCAAATATCGGCAATTATACGCGCGAAATTTAAAAATTGTGCCACTTACCGAATTGTTATCAAAACTTGTTATATGTTTGTCATTTTCTATGGACATGTTTACAAAGCTTTGTTAGAGTTCATGGTCTAAATTTAGTAACTAAAAAATTATCATGTTTCTATTTGAAGATGCAGGTGTGAGTGTGTGCTAAAAATTTTGATGCTGTAACATCATAGAAAAACCATGAAAAACTATGTGTAACATTGACAGATGTCAACAAATGGCCCAAAACTAAAATTTATTGATCATCAATTTAAACGTGGTTTTAGGGTATGTGTTATAGCAGTTACCCTGTAATTTATTCAAAGATCTTTTCATCTAGGTTATAAAATAAATATTCATTTAAAAATTTGAAGAAATGGCTGTCGAAAAGGTTTACCCAAAAATTGAAGAACTGACCAGTTTTAACGCAAAAGTAGTATGCCCAGAGAAAAACTGTATGAAAATATTTACTACTGAATCAAATCTAACACTGCATTTGGTAAAAACACACAAAAGAAATGAACTATGGTTAATAAAAAAAGAATTTTATTGTCCCAATATAACTTGTATGTACAATACAAAAACAGTGTTTAGAAATATTAAACCCTTAAAACAGCATTACATGAAAGTACACATGGCAAAAACATTTGCCTGTGAATCATGTTGTAAAAAATTTGTTACAGAACAAATATTACAATCCCACAAAGAATATTGTGGTGTAACATTTAAATGCTGTGATTGTGAGGTGTCATATGATTGTTATGAAACATTAAAAACTCATTGTAGAAGAAAGAAACATGGCATAAAAGATAAAAAGAATTACAAATTTGTTACAATGGACACAGTGGAACCTTTGAATATAGGGAGATTTAAATTAATTTTACCAAAACCAGTGAAAAGTACAGCAGTAAATAAAGTAATGCTTAATCAGAGCTGTCAAACTGAATTATTAAAGCCCAAATTGAGTAGTAAAAGCATTCAAGTGCAAAACGAAAAGGTTGATATTGGCACACAGGCCACCATAAGATCATCCAGTCAAAGTAGCGAGACCCAAACACTAGAAGTAAATAGTAAACACTCTTTGGAGGATTACTCAGAACCCCAGAAGAGAAAACATATTAAAATACAGACTACAGCTGTCCCATACAAGACATCAAGTTGCAATACATCCTTTGATTTAAGTGATTTTGAATTTACAATCAATACAGATCCAGAAAAATTTAATAGCAGTACACAAACCTCCTCAGCTGAGTTTGGTAATAATTATTCCTCATCTACTAACACACATGATTCAATACATACAGACACATCAGATCTGTTAATGTACAGCCTGAACGAAAACTTGGATTCAACATTTTTCAATTGTCACATGGAGACTCAAACTGACTTAATTTTACCTAACGATGACCTCTTTAATTACTGTGATTATTACAGTAACAATATGCATACTCAGACTTGCTCTGATATTTTTAACGACGTTGTTTTTAATGACACAGAAACGCAAACTACAATAAACGAAATGTTTAATTCTGTTGAAAGTCAAACAATTATGTCGCATACAAAATCTTCTAATCATGAAGATAAATATGTGGCCAACATTGAAACTCAGACTGATACAGAATTTCAGATTAAATTAGAAGAAATACATTCCTGACTGTAATTTAGCTTTTTTGTTTGGATTATTTATTGTTTTAAATTATTCTGGACTTCTTTATTCTTTAGGGAAGACATTGTACAAATTGTATAAAATTTACCATGTAACTGTAAACTGTAATGTAAATAAACAATTTAAAAACATTTCTTATTTTTTTATTACATGCAGTATACTGAGGTGCATGATACAACCTTACTGAGGTGATTTTTGTCATTTATTTAATACATTTATATATTTTCCAATAAGTTAACCAAATAGCTTGTCTAGGCATTATTATATAATATATATAGGTACCTATAGGTATATATATATATATATATATATATGTATTAATAGTTTTCCGGGATCTGCTTCGTGTTGTCGGTTTTTGGTTCTTAAAAGAACCGTATGTCTGACGACGTTTCAATACAATCGCATGTACCATCTTCAGGTCTTATCTGCTGTTGCTGCGAGTTAGACGTCGAGCGCTGCAACAGCAGCCCAGCAGATAAGACCTGAAGATGGTTCTTAAAAATCGACAACACGGAGCAGATCCCGGAAAACCATTAATAGGTAAAAGATAAAACTTAAAAAATTCTACGGGAGGAAGGAATGCCGTCCTTACGGTACGGGAATCTATAACTGGCACTACGATTTAAATAAACATTTTTGACGTAATTGCCACCATTAACATTGCCCGTTATTAATTTTAATTAAACTTAACAATTATTGATACTTTAAAATATTAAAATAACTTCAAAATATGATTTTGTTAAGAAAATATTTTATTCTTTGATTTTTTTTTATTACTATAATTGCAAAATATCACAAAGTATTAAAAATTCCTACACGGGAAATGTTAATGGTGACAATTACGTAATGTTCATCTTCTACGGGAGGAAGGAAGGAAGGAAGGAAGGCAATCTATAACTCAGGCTTTTTTGGTTCGTTGAATGGTGCATTAAATAGGAAAAAGCGAGATTTTCCCCGTTTACAGATGTCAGATTTGTAAAATAGTTAACTTAATAATTATTTATGTATCAAGGCAGGAAATTATTTGCCAGGGCAAAAAAATAACCACTTGAGTGATAAAAAATGACTTTAATGCCGAGGTGCATTAAATTTTATTCGAAATCGCATTTAATAATACTAATAATTAATATTTGATGATCAAATCAAATGTCATTTGATGATCAAATCAAATCATTTGATTCAAAATTTGAATTTCAAATGTCATTTGAATGTAGGAAGTGTCTACGTATACTGTTTGTTGCGACGGTTATGATATATTTGCCCGCCGCGGCGCGCCGCGGGGATTTTTTAATTTAATTTATAAAATTAACTTATTATTTTTATTAAGCCACATTTTATGAAAGGGTCCAATTGACCTCCGCAACGGTGCCTTTTTTAAAAATTATTTAGTTGCTGCTGAGTAGCAGTAGACACATCTTAAAATGTATAATGGGTCGCATAATATACAGTTAATTTTAAATATAATTATTTTGAAAGGTTTTTATCACAAACAATGTCAAAAAACTCCTAACAAATATTTGTTTTCTATGACAAATAACGTAACCAGAACAACCCTTTTCGTCGAAACTTTTGACGTCTGTAAAAAAGTGAGGTTATTTTTAACCTTATTCTCATTTACTTTTATTCCTTTACAAAACATTATAATTACATGAAAAACAAAACATTCTGTATGTTTAATTTATTATTTACTTACTTTTAATTCGTATCAAAGTTACATAAGTGTTCCCAACCTAAAAATACATGAAGTTTTATAGCACAGGATTAAAAAAAATACTGGACAAATGGCCAGGTAAACGACAATTGGGTATCTACAGGTTTTTGCCTTTGTTTTTTGGACTTGGAGCCGCTTTGGAGTTTTCTATGATAAACTGGGAAGTGGGTGAAACAAACTTTTGTAAGTGTTGATTGAAAAATGATAAAAATCATTGATAATTTGTTTTTAGACAAAACATACAAGAGGAGGCAAGCTAAAAATATTGTAGAGGCCCAACTTGCTGAAGAGCAAACATAAAAATGCCTGCTGGAGTTACTTGGAACACCTATCTTAAGTTCTTTTGTGCTGCTTTTGGTTCAATGGTAGCTGGAGCTCAAGTGGTACATATTTACTACAAACCTTTGGAAGATTTAGAAAAGTATATAGAAAAGGAACTATCGGAACATAGTAAAAAAGCTTGATTATGTACATAATATTTATATAAAATCAATATAATAGTAATAATGTACATACAATTTTTTGTCTTAAATTTCTTCCTTTAACTGCTCACTGTATTCCTTGTATAACCTTTGCCAGGGAAGCTTTGTTTTAATCACTTCGAGGACTTCAGTTAACAAATTTGATTTACTCAATCCCTAAAAAATAAAAAAGTTTTAATATGAATTTAAATGTTTTATAATCTTACCATTATTTCTGTATTGAGCTTGGGCTTTTTGGAAGAGTGATTTGGGCCCATTAATTCATCCAAAATAGTTCTTAACCTACACTCAGGTCCTTAAACAAACAAATTTTTATTTATTAGCCACCTATTATACTGGCAATTAAATTTACTATTAGTTGTTTACAGAGAGACGCGTTCTGAAGGAATTTGGCCGAAAAAGGCGATATTTAGAATTTAATTGGTGTTTGAAAAGATTTTTTGGATGGTGTAGCAAAAAGTTTTTATTTAGAACATACCTAATTATTAATAATCTTACCCTTTTCCAATAAATGGTTAACAATGGCAAATAACCAATGGCGATACTCTGAAGATGATTGCAGCACATTCGCAGCCGCAATTTGTGCTTCCAAAAAGCTCAAAGCGACACCTGGTGGCAGGGAATCGTTTAGTTTGTATGAAGGCATTGACCTCTGCAATGATGCCAATGGTAAATTTGGTGGGACACTCCTTGTCAGCCCACCTGCTGTGGCACTAACTGGGTCCATGGGATTTGATAAGAGAACCCTGCAAAATGGATGGTTTTGTTATAATATTTTTATAAAAGAGATGAAGTTTCTCCTGTGTAGGGTTGGGAAAATTTCACTTTTTGCTTGTACTTGAAATTTCACTTGAAATTTTCATGACAGTTATGAAATTTATTAAAATTTCTGAAATTTCATGAAATTTATTGAAACTTTCAATAATATAAATAGTAAATACCTATGTTTACCACAAATTTCTTGAGATTTCCTTTTAAAATATTTTTAAAATTACTAAAACTAAAAGAGATATAGCACTTTTTGGTAAGCTAATGAGATTGTGCCACTTTCATTGTTTTATATTTATACCTATATATATATATTTATTATTTTTAAATATTTTACTGAAATTTTACGAAAATTGAAGAAACTTCATCAAAATTTTATGAGCCAAAGGCATTTTTTATCCGTTTTCCGAAGCAATTATAGCAAAAGTAAAAGTTTAAATTAAAGATGACTTTTAAAAAAAAAATCTAATTTGCAAATTAAATTGGTAACTGCAGTTTTTGTTTAGTTCGGCTTGGATTTGAATACACTATAAGTAATTATTTTTACTTATATGCATAAATTAATTTAAATAATTTAATTCATGAATTAAATTATTTAAATTAATTTATGCATATAAGTAAAAATAATTACTTATAGTGTATTCAAATCCAAGCCGAACTAAACAAAAACGCCCAGACGCTTGATAACTCGTTCTTATTGGTCGATTCGGAACCTGTTGTAAATTATTATTAAAGATCCTAGGGGAGGCCGCATTTTAATGAAATTGCTGAAACTTTCACAGGCAATGTTGCAATTTTCGGATTGAAAATTTCATTTGAAATTTTTAAAAATTTCACTTTTCCAACTAAATGAAATATTTCAAGTTTGAAACTTTCAAAGTTGAAATTTTCATTTGAAAATTTCAACTGTCCCAACCCTACTCCTGTGTAACAAATTGATTATTTTTTTGGGTTAGTAAAGTCAGCACTATTATAGCATATAATAGGCTGGACAATTTTGTTATCAGGGGTGTCAAAAACCTTTAACTTTTCCGAGGTTCTGATAATATATTACAATAAAAATAAAAACTAATATAGAAGTGAATTTGGATCATTTTTCTGTGATTTCACTAGTCTTCATTTAATTAGCTGCCAACTGCAGCTTATGCTGACCAACGGATAATCGGTTTAAATATGGTAGATGAAAGAATTTACTCATTTATTTTGGGAAGACTTATAAAACTTATAGGAACGATTATAAAAATGTTATAAGCAGTCGAAAAAATATTAATGCCTTTGGGAGTTTTATTTTGCAATCAATCTAACTTATTCCTTTACCTACATTTTAAGATTCAAAAGTCGGCATTTTAATGAAACCTCCGCTACGCCCCTGATTTTTACCATTAAAATGTTGTTGCATTGCAGTTACAACAATGTTGGTAAAGTACGGTCTTGATTAATTAATAAATTACATATTAAAAAAAATTACCAAGAGTGTAAGTCCAGGCAAAATGAGTATGCTTTCCCATCATTTAAAGTGACTATAGGTTTATTATTGGTACCGAGACTACATCCAGATATTGATGCTGAAAATCAAAGATTATTTTATTGTTATACTTTTGTTTTACTTACCTTTTCCTGAAAGCAGACTTCTCACAGATATCCTAGTCAAAATGCTCTTTCTTTTTTCCAAGTCCCACATGTGCATAAGTCCAGTTTTGGTAAGTACTAAGCAGTAGCCTTCTTGAGATAAACTTATTGAAGAGACCACATCTTCTATAAGTAAAGGTGGCAGTGGCCTTGAACCGTTTTTAAGATCGTAACTGTTTATCGAGAGGTCCTCGCAACATGCAATTATCATTTTTCTATTCGACGCTATACATCTAATCGAACTACCCAGGTATGAATCCCATATTGGGTTTTTTTCATCAGACTTTTTGTAGACTTCTATCCTGGCTAGGCAACCCCTTTGAGTTTTGTGGCAGTTATTGGTGACCTATACAAAAATAAGTTATTATTTGTTTTTTCAAGTGGTGCATATTTTTTACTTGTATTTTAAGGACGCCCGCGTCCTTAGTGGCAGTTACTCCAGGTGGCATTTTCAGGGGATCCAAAATGCTGACCAGTTTTACGATTGGTTCATCCCCAGGAACTTCACAGCACATTAACAAATTAATTTGGGTGCATGGTGGATTACTTACTACTTTATTGTTTATTTCTACTTTATTTTGCCTACGAAATAGTCATGTTTAATATTTTATAGGATAAAAAAATCTTCAACGTACAAACTCTTTATTTCTTTATGTTTTATTCTGGGTTTAACTTGCTCCTTCACTGTTTCAACAACTATTTGACTTTTTGTTGGCGAGGATCTACTAAACGTGTTGCTATCATTGTGGTGAGGAATTTCTAAATTGCTACTGAAAATAATTTTGATTAGATAAAGATTGTTTAACTAAATATTGCAATATAAATATTATATTACTTATGAAGTATTGCAAAACTTTATTTATAATTAACATTTAAAATAATACCAATTTTGCGGTTTTTTTTATCTAAAAAGCTTATTGTATTTGGGTGATTCCATGATTACTAACGGGACAAGCAAAAAAAAACAAAATGTTTTATGAAAATTTTTGAAGATGTGTTGTTCCTATAATAATAATTATAATATTATAATATTATAATAATTATAATTTAAGCCAGTCCTCAGCAATAAAATAAATAATAATAACTATTATAAAATTATTATTATATAAACAACACATCTTTAAAATTTTCATAAAACATTTTGTCTTGTTTTTTTTTGTCCCGTTAGTAATCAAAATCATACCCCCTTTAAAGATAGTAACAAATGGCCCCTAAGTGTAATACCAAAGTTTTTACATACACTGGTGTGGTGACATGATTTGCCGAAGGTGAAGTGGTATTTGGCACTGACGTCAAAAACATCGGGGTAATTCGTCTTTTTCCGGACGCCAATCGCGTCTCAACTTGTTTGTTTACTGGCACAAGCACACTTTGGTTCAATTTGGGAGATTCAAATGAAACATCGTTTATGGTTATTTTGGGTTCATTTGTTTCTACCGTTAATTCTGATTTTGCTGCATTTTTTTCGTTAATTTCATCCATGGCACTTAATAATTCGGGATTTTCAGCGATTTGAGTGCCCGAGAAACTCAAATTCCAGTTTCTTTGTAAAGATTTATGATATACTCTTTCATACAGGGAATTCTAGAAATCAAAATTAGAAAAATAAATTTAAAAGGATTGTTTTACCTTTTCATCCATTGAAAGTGGCGTTCCCAGCTCATCCTGCGTAAAAGTAACGCAAGCTACAGTTCCATCCCAGGAACAAGCTAATAGGTACAGTCCGTTACTACTCCAAGTAATATCTAGCACACTGTCATCAAAAAGATCCTTAATTACCACTAGAGGGCGTTTTAGAGACGTCAGCCACACGCTGATTGACCTGTCGCGAGAACCTATTGCGCAGCAGCAATACTGATGGTTCTTAGGGCTGCTGCTAGACGACTTTTTCAGTATATTCGAATTAAATCTCTACAAAAACATTTGGACGTATTTATAACAATGGGTTTCAAAAGAGTATACTTTGATATTTATTCAATATTAATGTCTTTCTCAGCGACAATCGTGTCACTAAAAACATAGTATTGAGATGTAATAAAAAAATAGTTTACTTACCACACAGGTTACTGCTTTTCTATGACCAACAAAATCCTTATCTTGTCGCCAGCCCTCGCGCTCTACGATCTGCGCAGTAGGTCCGCCCCCATTCATGGCATGCGCAGACACCAAATACTGTCCATCTGGCGACCATGACAAACGAAGGACATGTGTTGTGGCGGAACAGTCCTCAAAAGGATCAGTAACGATTTCTTGTTGCATCCAATCGGATGTGCGCCATATTCGCAGGGATTTGTCGTCCGATTGGCTGGCAATGTACTTGCCTACTGGATCCCAAGTCACACCCTAAAATAGCGATACTATACTAAAATCATTTTACCAAAATACCAAACAAAACTATTTTAATAATTAACAATTAAAAAATGACAAAATGTTTTAATTGCTGTTCAATCTTTTTGGTTTACTATATAGTTGAAATTTTATAACTTGTCGTTACGTCATGTACGGATATAGCTCAGACATTTGTAATTTTCAAGCGGCACTCGACCACTGGTATGCTTCAATGTAGCCGATAAGTATATTGAAAAACAGGTTTTTGACATTTTATATTAATGACGTAACGGACAAATTTTAAAAATTCAACTATAGTATAATACATGAATCATAAGGTAAATTGACCATATTAGTATTTCTTCAAAGGAAGACAACATTTTTGACCCAGTCCCGAAAAACTTCCGAGCCTGTCCAAAATATCGCCGCAGGCCGATTTTTTTTGTAAAAAAAAAAATGTATCTACATGTACAGGGTGATTCCCTATAATGTCGCCCCCCTTTAACTTCTTCTTCTTCTTAATTCTGATCACAATTCTGTGTTCAGAGAAATGACCTTTAGCTTAATTTAACTTTAACTTTTTTATTTTAAGTCTCCCAAAAAATTTAAAAGTGTGGTTATGTAGGTAAAGGGTGATCCCCTATAATGTCGCCCCCCTTTAACTTTTTTATTTTAAGTGTCCCAAAAAATTTAAAAGTGTGGTTATGTAGGAACTAAAAAATATTTTTTTTCTACGTTTAAAGAAAATTGGAAAATTGATCAATATACAGGGTAAAACAAAAAGTATATATTTTTTCAATGGATCACCCTATATATGAATTTATTTTTCGATTCCTTGTAAAATTCTGAGCATAATTCATATAACAAACCATATCCTAAATTCAACTGTTTTTGAAATATTCGCATTCGAAATGTTATCATTAAATGGTTTTTTAAACTGTTGGAAATCAAGAAGCATCAGTATACCAAAATTTTTATTGAAAATAAATTATTATAGTGATATTATGTCAATATGTCTTGTTAAATAAGTAAAAATGGCCTACTCAGACAGAGAAAGACAAACTATTTCAACTTATTATCTTAAAAATAATTTAAATATTTCAGAAACGGTTGAATTTAGGTATATGGTATGTTATATGAATTATGCTCAGAATTTTACAAGGAATCGAAAAATAAATACATATATAGGGTGATCCATTGAAAAAAAATAAACTTTTTGTTTTTCCCTGTATACTGATCAATTTTACAATTTTCTTTAAACGTAGAAAAAAAGTATTTTTTAGTTCCTACATAACCACACTTTTAAATTTTTTGGGACACTTAAAATAAAAAAGTTAAAGGGGGGCGACATTATAGGGGATCACCCTGTACAAAAAAATACTTTTTTTCTACGTATAAAAAAAATTGGAAAATTGATCAGTATACAGGGAAAAACAAAAAGATTATTTTTTTTCAATGGATTTTTGATTCCTTGTAAAATTCTAAGCATATTTCATATAACATACCATATACCTAAATTCAACCGTTTCTGAAATATTTAAAATATTTTTAAGATAATAATTTTAAATAGTTTGTGTTTCTCTGTCTGAGTACCCCATTTTTACTTATTTAACAAGACATATTGACATAATGTGACTATAGTAATTTATTTTAAATAAAAATTTTGGTATACTGAGGCTTCTTGATTTCTAACAGTTTAAAAAAACATTTAATGATAACATTTTAAATGCGAATATTTCAGAAACGGTTGAGTTTAGGTATATGGTTTGTTACCTATATAAATTATGTTCAGAATTTTACAAGGAATCAAAAAATAAATTCATATATAGGGTGATCCATTGAAAAAAAATAAACTTTTTGATTTTCCCTGTATATTGATCAATTTTCCATTTTTCTTTATACGTAGAAAAAAAGTATTTTTGAGTACCTACATAACCACACTTTTAAATTTTTAAAATAAAAAAATTAAAGGGAGGCAACATTATAGGGGATCACCCTGTACCTATGTACCTAATAGGTACTACCTATTCATGTACCTAATAAAAAACAAAAAAATTAAAAACAATTAAATTAAAACAGAATTCAGGTATGTGCCTACATTGGAGTGGGTCAATATTCGTTTTTTTGTGATAGCAAAAATATTAATCTTTAAGATAAAAAAAGATACTAAAAAAAAATTGGTTAACATCATAGGCAACAGAAAGTAAAAAATAATTTTTTTTTAAGTAAAATTTTATTTATTAATTTTGTAACTAAATTTTGTGGTTTCAGAGATAATATAGAAAATTGCGATTTTATCTTAAAATTTCCATTTTTATAACTGAAATCGCTGAAACTATATACCGCATTTTCAATTGAAATATATAAACTCGACTGAGCCCAAGTGAACCCGATCGCCCTCCCCATTGTAACCGGATTGCCGTAGTCATATTTTGCATTTGATAGTGCGTATTTCAAGCTTTTTAAAATAAATTAATTTCTTTTAGTTATAATAAATAAGTTATAATGTCCTACACATTGCAAAAGAAAATTGGTATAATAAGCTGGTCTTTAGTGGGCAATTCTCTACGTCAAACAAGAGATATATTCTCAGTTAAATATCCGGATCGTTCTATTCCGTCAATTAGAACAATAACAAACGTTTTGAATTAATTTATTTACATTTATTTTAAGAAGTTTGATTTTTAGTTTTGTTTTAAGAGAATTGATTTAGGTACTTATTTTAATTTGTGTTTAAGAAAATTATTTTATTTTTTTATTTTACTTTTTAAAGAGAATTTGCTTAAACGTTTTTTTTATAGGAATACACTTTTATAACTATAGTTTTTTAACTATATAGTTAAATGCAAAACAAATAATGATTTTACACCTTTAATTAATAATTTACTGTTAAAAGTGATTACGTTAGATTTTAAGAATAGATCTGAATCATTTTTCGAGAATAACCCATCGCCGGTGTAGGGTCTACTATTGAATTACAAAAACTCTTAAAAATTATTCTCCCACTCTTAAAAACCGAATGCAGGAAAAATGAAAATACGGTATGTTACCGGCAATGTAAAAAATCCGGTAATGTGCGAAATGCCTAGATACTCTGCAAACTGACCAAATTACCGGAAATTGTGCAAAATCACTTCCATTTTGGGCAATCTGCCCGGATTTTTTACATTGCCGGTAACATCAGTGATAGATAATGGGTTTCATAAGGTTACAGAATTAAAAATGAAAATACAGGGTGCTCTTGTGTGTGCATATATCTCAGGATAATATATTATAAAGACAAGTTTATATGAACATTATGTCCTTAACAGCTACACAGTTTAAAATAGGATTTAAAACTGATATTTTTTACAAAAAAGTGGTACAGCACTTGGTTCAGCAATAAAATACACTTTTTTAAATAAAATAAGTAGTTTTATATCCTATAATATACATAAAAATTGAAAATATTATCTAATGTACTCCACACACAAAAGTCCCACTTTGACATTTTAATACAAATAATTGAGGTCATCAATCTGTCAGTTTACCCATAATTTCGTATTATTTTCTGAAAATAATACAATATTTATATAAAAATGTATTTTGTGTTTGTAAAGGTCTTAATTTAGAACATAGAAAATACATAAATTGTATTTTTTTCAGAAAATAGGAGGAAATTAGCGTTAAAGTGATTGACACCATAAATTATTTGTATTCAAATGTCAAGGTGGGACTTTTGGGCATGGAGCAATTTTCTAAAAAGACAATATATGTATTTGTTGTAATCTTTATACACAAAAATACATATATTTTTAGAATATAAGTATTTTTGTGTATAAAGATTACAACAAATATATATGGGGCAAAATTTGCCAAGTGTACCAAGTGAAAAAAATTTTGTCACCGATTTTGTTTAAACTTTACTTATTTGTTGTTCTTATAACGAAGAATCATAGCATAAAATTTTTTTGCTCTAGGATTGTTCATTCAAGAGTTATGGATTATTGAAATTTATCGATTTTTTACTTTTTTGTGAAATCGCTTTTTATTTAAAAATTCATAACTTCTGTTCATCTCTTTATTAAATATTTAAATTTAACCACCTTAAATGATTTTTTCCGTACTTTTCAATGGGCTATAGGTACCGTTTTTGCAAAAAAATAAAAATTGCAATTTTTTTTTGAAATTTTGCAAAATTTTGCATTTTTTGAAACAATGTGTATTTTTTAATTTTTTTTAAAATAGCATAAAATCCAAGTTTATTATGTTACCTTTGAATAAAAAAAAATTTAGAGTGTCCCGACATGTGCAAAAAAATACAGTTAAAAAACTATATCGTGCGGCAGTGTAAATATTTAAAATACATCATTGACTACTCAAACATAATTTTACATTTTAAATTATCATTTTGTATTCGTTTACTCGCATCTACTAGGTATAAACGCATACGGCAGTGTAGTAGCTATTCGATGGCTAGACCGTGCGGCATTCAAATATGAAAAACTTCCCTTCTACATGTCGGGCCCACTCTAAAATTTTTTTTTATTCAAAGGTAACATAATAAACTTGGATTTTATGCTATTTTAAAAAAAAAATAAAAAATACACATTGTTTCAAAAAATGCAAAATTTTGCAAAATTTCAAAAAAAAGTTGCAATTTTTATTTTTTTGCAAAAACGGTATAGCCCATTGAAAAGTACGGAAAAAATCATTTAAGGTGGTTAAATTGAAATATTTAATAAAGAGATGAACAGAAGTTATGAATTTTTAAATAAAAAGCGATTTCACCAAAAAGTAATAAATCGATAAATTTCAATAATCCATAACTCTTGAATGAACAATCCTAGAGCAAAAAAATTTTATGCTATGATTCTTCGTTATAAGAACAACAAATAAGTAAAGTTTAAACAAAATCGGTGACAAAATTTTTTTACCTGGTACACTTGGCAAATTTTGCCCCATATATTGTCTTTTTAGAAAATTAGCTAGACAATGACAGAAAATTAACCTTAATTATTTGTATCAAAGTCATGTGGTACAACAAATAGGTAATTTTATTAAGAAGAGTTCAATGAACATAATGTCCTCAATGGCTTAAATTTTTTACTACAGGGTTTTGAAAAAAATAGTGTTACTTTTTAATATCTCCAAGGGTATATACCTTTATAGATATTAAAAAGTAAACTATTTTTTTCAAAATCCTGTAGCAAAAAATTTAAGCCATCAAGGACATTATGTTCATTGAACTTTTTTTAATAAAATGACCTGAATTATTAGCATGTCATTAAGGAATACCATATATAGTATAGGTAGTATGGATATTTCATAAAAAAACCTTGTGTTGTAGCTTACTTTTACTAATCCTGTATGTGACTTTAAGACAGCAACTTTCTCAGGAAATTTAAGAGCATTCCATATAATAACACTATTATCAACTGATCCTGAGGCTAACCAACCATCATGTGGTGCCCAGGCTAAATCTAGCACGTCTCCACTGTGCGAATTCAGAGTGTGCACACATTTCCATGTCTCAACATTTACTTGTCTGCTGCCAAAAACGGAGGAGGCGCCTTCATTTGTTAACCTCCAAATCATGACAAGTTTGTCATCACCCCCTGAGGCCAACAAATGGCCAGCATGACTCCATCTTACCACATTTACACAAGCTATAAAAATGTTTTTAATTCAATTATAATTATCATAGTAAAGTATTGTATACCCAAATGGTTATCCATCTGACACAGCATTTTGGGAACCTTAGAATCATCCTCATCCTTCTCATTAAGTACAGGGTTTATGTTCCAAATAACAATTTTCCCTCCTGAACCTCCTTGTCCACCAGTAGCAAATCTGCCACCCTGTGGATGAATATCCACAGAGAAAATAGGCTTATTTTCTAAGGATATTAAATAAACAAATACAATTTAGCAAGTACAAAATACAATTGGTAATTACCTCCATGGTTTACCCAAGCTGGTTTCAAAAAAATCATTTTAATTCACACAATTGTAGATAAAACTTATTCAACTAATTGGTAGCGTATACATAATTTTAAAATATTTACTGCATTTTAAAAACAAAAACAATTCTTAACATAACAACAATTCACAAAATATTTACTTTTTTTCGATAGGTTAGGAGAGCGGCTAAATGTAAACATTGGATAAAGTGGGAATCTGATTTACCAACATACAATTACACTAACATCCAAGAATGAATTTCTATATACACTGACACACAAAAATTAACTAGAAATTGCAAATTTTTGACATTTTGAAGATATTAACCTATAACGCATTTTCACGTTAAAAGTAGGTATACAGGGAGTGCATACGAATAATTACGGAATGCGTTTAGCCACAATATAGGTAGGTACACCATGATTTGACGATACACTAACAACGGTATGCCCAAAGATAATATTATCTTTATCTTTGGCTATGCCGATGTTATGTGACTTCATGTGCAAACTATAATCTGTAAAGTCAAAATTTATAAATAGATGGACTTTCTGCTTAAAGTTTAAGCCTTAAACAAAGAATCACCTGAAATGGAATCATCACCAGTGCGTAGCTTATGCCTTGTAAACATACACGGTTAATTTTATAGACGATTTCAGAAACAAAATATATAATCATCGAAAATTGTGTTTTTGGGTTTGTCCGACTCCCAAGTAACAGGAAACATGAAAATTAAAATCCTTCATGTAGGGCATTTTAGATGGTGGCCCAAAAACATGTCAAAAGTTTGTAATTTTTTCTAAACACTAAAAAAATTAAATTAAAAAAAACTTTTTTTAAGGATAATCTCGAGGATAATAGAGCGTTCAATTTTAAGTTAAAAGCGTCTTAAAAAATGTTTTGTAGATACTATAGTTTTGTTATAAAAAAAATCTGTTTTTCTTACTTAACGAAATAATACATATTAATCAAATCTAAAATACTAAATAAGTTTTAATGTCTAAATCAATACACGTAATAATATGTGCTGGCTATTATAATAACAAATGCACCTTAACAATTTTTCTTTAAACGACTGTAAATTTCTTGGATTTAAATTAATTTTTTTGAAAACATTGGTATAAATCCAGCTAGCCATGCGTGACTAGCGAAAACGCTCTGACAGCTGACAAATAAAGATATGTCAAAGAAGCGTTACTTGGAAATGTTTGACATTTTCACTCTTGAAATTTATAGTACTATATATAGACTATAGTTTCACGTAATTTTTCTGTGTTCGTGTAAGATGCCCCATAAAAAAAAGACTCGAAAAAAGATCACAATGATAATCGAAAAAAGGTATGTTATGCATGTTTTAACAAAGCAGTTAGAAGCTATAATATCACTGGAAAAATAAAGCAACGTCTTGAAACTATTTCGCCTAGTTTTGACGAGGATAATAAGAGTATTCCGTTAGTGCTTTGTAGAACTTGTTATATAAAACTTATGACAAATAGACTCACAACTATTTTTGACTTTGCAAAAATTAAAATTTTGCCCAGGCGTTACGGAATTAATGAGAACTGCGTTTGTCAAATTTGCCAAGTGGCGCGTTTTCGCGGCCGTCCTAAAATGAAAAATCTATCGTTTCCATTTGCAGCTAAAAAAAAATCTGTAGGTAGACCAAAGATAATACACCCCATAGATTGGAAACTGCACTAGCGCTAGCGGCAAAAGGCTAAAGTAAATTAACGCCATCTAGCTCTACAATACCCTTAGCAATGCCAAAAATTGAAGTAGATTTCTGTAATATATTGGCGGCAAATTTGAATGTTGATGCTTAGTAGGGTGCCTTTGTATATTGTATTTACTGCTGTATTTTAAATAAAACAAGTATGAAAATAAGATTTATTTATTGTAGTAATAATAATAATAAAATACATACATCTTATGTACATATTAAATACATAATGGGTATACATGAACATGTTTTTGTTTGGGGAGTGTAAACCTAAAAAATATTAGTCTTAATTCTTCAATATTAAGATAATATTGCAAAATTTGGTAATTTAGTCCAGGCTACTTATACATATACATATAGGAATTTGTACAAGGCTTTTGAGTGTGGACTTATGGCAGGTTCTAACCAACCGTGAAAAATTCATCTTGCCAACTCTTGGTTTTGAAACAACCATAAGTAGCCTGGGCTTGGCCTGGACTAAATTACCATTAAACAAGCAATCCTAAATAATTCATAATTAACAAACAGCATTTTTACGCTAGAGCGATACTGCCGAGCTTAGCCAAAAAGACGCAACTCCACATTTTTACTTTATAAATTATAGCGCTTTATTTTTTTGTTCATAAGATACGTTCAATTTAATTAGAAATTTTTAGGAGATATACTTAAAAATGTATGTATAGTTGCGTCTTTTTTGCTAAGAGAATAAGTTAATAATAATAACGAGATGAGTTTTTACTTACAAATTGGTTACATTTCCGCACCCAAAAAACATACATTTCACAACCATTAACACGTTTTATCACTTTTAAGGCGCAAAAATGTATTTAATAATTAAAAAATTATGATTGACATCAATAATTATGATTGACATTGACATTTGAAAATAGCGTTTGTACAGATATCTGCAATTAACAAATAGATATAGTTCAGGTATTGTAGCTCTAGATGGCAGTGGTGGGAGAGTTTCCAATCTATGGGGTGTATTATCTTTGAGGTAGACCTTCAAAAAAACAAAAAAAACGAAAAGAAAGTTGCAAAATATGCATAAAATGCAATTGTAAATTGGAAAAAGGCAGAAGGCATGAATGTACGAAAGCAAAGAAAATTGAAAATTCGTTTAAATTGGTAGAAGGTTGTAAGCAAGAGGTCGCAACTAAAGTTCTGGAAGAACAAGAATGTGCCCAGGGAAGTTCTTTCGTATCATTAAATAAGGGACGCAGTACTATGGCTGTACAATTGAAACGAAAATCTGATCAATGTCATAAAGCTGCTTTAACTTTTCAAGATTTAAGTAATATGCAACAAGATTGCAATTTATCACAAAACTCATTACAGAAAATATGTGGTTACGTGCGCAGGACAAACAGAACTCTAATAGAACCTTTGGCTTTGCAGAAATTGCAGTCTCATAGTCATCTGCTGGATAGCTTTTTTTCAACCACAGACTTGCCCAATATTAAATGCTCAAAACATGATGAAACTCCCTTTTTGATATATTGCACCGATGTTCCAGGACTAGTAACATACATTTTAAATGCCAGGCAATTAGACGATGATTTTCATTTAAAAATTGGCCTAGACAGTGGCGATAATTCTTTAAAAATGTGCTTAACCATACTGCCGGAAAATGACCCAGAATATTATCGAGAATATAAAAGTGCAGGTATAAAAAAGTTACTAATAATTGGTTTAGGACCAAACTTTAAGGAAAATTATGACAACGTCAAAATTTTCATTGACATTCTGCAATTACATAGCATCTGTGGAATCTGTTCATATAGTTTTGCGGCCGATCTGAAATTAATCATGGTACTTCTGGGCTTGCAAACAAATGCGTCATGCCATCCTTGTCCATGGTGCGACATCAACTCCAAGGAGCTGCAAAATAAAGGAAATCCGAGGACGATCAAGAACATCAACGATCAACGAATTTTATGGCAACAAGCTACTGGAGGAAAACTTTCTAAAGCAAAGTATTTTGGTGAGTTTTGATTTTCACTGAATGTTTACGTAAGAATGGGTTGCGGAAGAGTTCATGCAATGAGCACCTAAAAATTTTAGGAAACTGCGTAAACATGCCGCTAATTATCGGAGATGAAAACAAGCCAGTGTTAAACTATATTCCCCCTCCAGAATTGCACCTTCTTTTGGGAGTGGTTCAAAAAATGTTCGACGGCTTAAAAATTGAATATCCAGTTGCAGCTGAAGAATGGGTGAAAAGAGTTGGCATAAGATTCGACCATTATGAACAATTTAATGGCAACAACGCGAGAAAGCTGCTCAAACAAGTTGATATTCTAGAGGAATTGTCGCCTGGTTTGTACACATACCTTTCCCATATTAAAATTCTACATATATATTCGTCTTTAATGTATTTAAGTTTATACATTTCGTTTTAGGAAACAAATACCTCAATTTGTTTAAGTATTTTGACGAAGTAGTTTCCAGTTGCTTTGGGCAAACTCTAAGTATAAGTTATGCCGAAAATATTCAACGTTTCGCAGTAGAACTATCTAAAGTCGGAGTACGGTACACACCAAAAATACATGCCCTCGTTCATCATGTTCCAGAGTTCATTGAAGAACATCAACGAGCACTTGGCTTTTTTTCTGAACAAGCGTCAGAACAAGTGCATCACTCAGACGTTTTCAAAAAATTTTAATTTAAATTCAAGGAATTTGCAGTCCTTTAAAGAAAAACTCTTAAGAAGTATTTGTTATTATAATAGTCAGCACATATAATTACATGTATTTATTTAGACATTAAAACCTATTAAGTTAATTAAATTTGATTAATATGTATTATTTTGTGAAGTAAAAAAAAATCAGAATTTTTTTATAACAAAACTATAGGGTCTACAGAAGACTTTATAATACGTTTTTTACTTAGAATTAAACGCTTTTTTATCCCTAAAAAAAGTTTTTTTATTAATTTAAATTTTTTAGTTTTTAGAAAAAATTCAAAAATTTTGACATATTTTTGGGCCACCATCTAAAATGCCCTACATGAAGGATTTTAATTTTCATGTTTCCTCTTACTTGGAAGTCGGACAAACCCGAAAACACTAGTTTCGATGATTATATATTTTTTTTCTGAAATCGTCTATAAAATTATCCGTGCATATTAAATAAATTCTACCCTTAGTTATTGCTGGCCAACAAAAGCAGCAAAAACTTTACGAAAAAAGTAGTTAAACAACCGTGCGTGGCTTATTTCTAGATAATAGTTATTTAAAGACATTAATTCTAAAAAAACTCGGAAAACGGGGAAAACACCTGTGCATACCGCCTATGCAAAATGTTTGAATCTGGTTCGCACGAGACGTTACATGCGCGGATCTGACAATTTTTCGATTCTTAACCAGCATACCGGTGTTTATGTATCTTGGTTATACCCATGATACCCTTGTATGGTATTACCTACAACAACAGTGAAAATACGGTATTTCTAATTATCCATATAT